CTGAAAATATTTCTGAAAGTGTGATTTACTGAGAAGAAATGTGACTTGAAATAAAAAGCTCACATCATTACTAAATTCACTCTTCCGGAGGTGAAGTTTAAATGATCTTGTCATTGGATTGAAGAATATTATTGGCACCTTGTAGATAGGAATCCCAACTGTTCCATCTATCAGAATGTCATTTAAATATGCTAAGTCCACATTCAAATCAAAGTCAATAAATATATGTGCAATACTGCATCTTTCCTCAATTAAATATTGATCAAGTTCATTTCTCAGTTCAAAAACATATTTCAAAATATTTCCCTAAGACTGCCATCTTAATTCAAATAAAATATTCATGAAATATGTTCAGCACTCAGGCTTGATTTTTATATAATTCACAGTATAATTGTTTGTAGAATGCTTTCCAATGCTGAACTTAAATCTGAAGAAAGAGCTTGCTTATGAATCATATATTCTCCTCGACGCTGCTGCGAGAGCCCAGGATGGGTTAGACTCCTCCTGATGACATCATAAAGTTGAGTCTGTCTAATATAAAAGGGGCAGCCTGTGGGAGTCTCCCCAGCTTTGACTCAGCTCCTTTCTATGACAATTGAGCTAGTGTCTCTGAAAGCAGTTTAGTTAGCAAAGCAAAGTCGGACAAGTGATTTAAGCTCATTGGCACAGCTCCCAGGGGCCCAGTCCAGAGCGGGGCTCTGCTCTCCTGCAATGCCGAGGACTCAACATTTCAGTCCACAGGGAGGCTGTAAGTAAGGAAGAAGCCGTCGGCCCTCCCCTGAAGCTCTCCCTCTGCGAATTTGGCCACCGCAATCGCAAAGTTCGGATCGGCGATAACCGCGCCCCACAGCTGATTGCAAAAACAGTTTTCTTCTTATTGCCGATTTCACTGCTCAGGGCTTTTTCCAGCCTAGGGAGCGAGGACCAGCCATTATAGGCTGGAGAATGTGCAAGGGGCCATTTTAAAACTTCTCGATGCACGTGGCAGGTGGCCATTTTAGGTGGCCACATTTACCAACGGCCTGCACCTATCCACTGAAGGACCCAATTAAGGCCCCTACATAGGCAGCACATAGCGGGAGTCGCTCCCAGCACCTCTTGTGCTTGCTTATATCAACTATGGATCAAGACAGGATCCAGGCAGAGATTTTCATGCAGCACTAGGAATTTTTTGGCATATTAAAGTTTAAAGGTCCTTTGTGACAGCCTGATACAGCCAATGTTCTGTCTGTATAACTTAGTATATAACTTAGCTATGGCAATGCAATTCTCCCGTCGACTCCCCAAGAAGAGGCGTATCAGGTAAGACCAACGCCCCATCTCTCAGAAAATTCTATCAACATTTCTTTTTTCTTTTTTCTTTTAAGGAACCTTCAGTTTAAATTATTCTTGTTATTTCTTCACAGAAGAGAAGTCCTTATTTATTGTATCTTCAATAACCAATCTAGCACATGTTATTAAGTGAACATCCTTGGGTGCGCTTTGTTATTTCATCTATCTGCATGGGAAATAGTTGGTTGCTTATCTTTCCAATTGATCATTAAGATCCTCTATTATCTTTGTGACTCAGCAGGAAATAGTGTCATGAAATAAAATGACACTCAAAAGTTGTTTTTCACCAGATACGTACAACATAGCTTTAATGATATCAATACTTGTTGGTTGGATTTTTGCAGTACATGATTTTATATGCAACTTGATAAATAGCAAGAAGTGGTTTTGAAATGGTGCGTTTAACATTTAACTAGACACAAATTTTGTTTCTTCATTTCATCTCTTCTCTTCTTGGAACGAAGAACAAAACACCACAATCTTATGAGGTTTGTTATCTAAGTTTCATGATTTGTTTCTAGAGGTTGATTTATCATGCTTGACGTCAGATTCCAACTTCATAGAATTTTCTGATAAATACCACAAAATGTCCTTCCACAGTAACAAGGACGCTTGTTAATCCAAAAACACATATAATTCTCATCGTATTTTCTTGACTTGTTTAGTTTTATTAATACTTCTGGTTGCTTGATTATATTCAGGTTTTCTTCTATGCCCTAACCCTTTTTTCTTCATTTTTAAAAGTTAGAAATCTAAAATAATGAATAAGGATATTGAATCTCAACGACACCATCTTTACTTCTACAGCTCTACAAAAAAAATCACTGATATGCCCCATTGGAAATCACCAACTTACAATGCTGTTATAATTGGTCGATGATTTTGATAAGTAGTTAGATGCTCGCTGTGTGTTTGTTGCTCTCTTTGCTAGATAAGTCGAGGTAAAACAAGAGGTGTTTTGATAGTGCTACTTGCTCCTTTATCCAGGCACTACGGTAAATTCTGGTTGCAATCGGGTTTTGCGAATGCACACCCAAAGCCTTGTCATGACATGCTCTACATATCCATACAGGATGTAAGGAAATTCTGGTAGCAATCCAAAGAAATTTATAACCCTTCTCAAATTTTCTTGTGATCCACAATTTGAGAAATGTTGTAATATATCAATATACTACTTCATATTACTTGTTCAGCAACCTAAAATATTCAAAACCAAGACTTTAGGGTACAGCCCCCCCCCCCCCCCCCCCACTTCTCTTAGAAATATTGTGGACTTATTTCTTTTTTGGATTTATGAAGAATCATAGTCAATTAAATCTAAGTAATATCTATGAATTATCAAACAGCTTTCCAGACTAACCTGGTAGATTGTTGTGCTGTTTAAATTGTCCTTGAAGCGCTGGGATGCATTTCTTTTCATACCAGGCTGTTCTCATATACTTTAATTGCTTGGATGGGAATTCTCTGACTTGGTAATCTGAATTATACCCATGTGGATTATTTAGAACAGCACATGATATATTTACTTATTTTCTTTAAAAAAAGTAGATTGCATATACTGTGGCATAAAAATTCTCAAATCAGATTCACATATTCAGTACATAAAAAGAATTCTGTTGAGAAGTTTATGACACACATAGTTGTGAAGCACCCATGAAAATCTATTTTTTTAGAGTTGAATCACAGGTTACATGGAAAGACTTTCAAAAGTCTTGTTATTATCAATAGTTCCTTTTTTGCTTTTACGTAATCAATGTTGGGGATTATAAAAACACTGCATTTTTTTCTCCTACTGGCCAGCCAAACCCAGAGCATGAGTTCCTCCCCCGCTGTGGTTCCCATGGAATTCGGTGTATGAAAATATGTGCAAAATCATGATTTATTAGTATATGTGAAAGGGGGAAACCACATTGAGCATATTCTGAAAATGTGTCTTTAAAAGAGCTATTTAATTCTTGACCAGCATTCACAGTGGAGATGAAAGATAACATCAGTATAAAGAAGCTCTCCATTTGCTGTAGATTTCTAGCTTTCTTCCTTTGGTTGTGAAAAAAAGATCAACTCCCTGAATTCCTAGCCTTTTCTCTGCTTTCTTCCCACAGAGACAGAAATTATCTTGCTTTTCCTTGTATTCAATTATATTAGAATTATAATATAATTTTGCCTGGTTTGAATGGATCATTTGAAAATTAGCATTAACTTTTCTTCGATTTTACATTCCTCATTCTTAAAAAGAAAAAAAAAAACCTGGTGTAAGGCATCCAGAAAGTATCCATGATATCAATCACTCCGAGACATTTCTCTCCAGTTGATTTATTTAGAAACAAATCTGACATGTCAAAGGCAATTTCCCAAGTGAAATTATTTTCGTGTGTTACACAGAATCCACCTTCTCTCCTCCCACTTCTACACTTCATAAATCACGAGAACCAATTAACTGCCATTAGAACTTCTTAATACGACATATAGAATAACCTTGAACTTTTCAACTCCTCCAACTCTCTTTAAGAAAAAATGTGGCAGCTGAATTTTAAAGCTGACACCTGGATCTACAATTTAATGTCTCACAAACAAGATAAAATGACTCTTCTTTTCCCCTTGCCGAAGCTCCCTTGAGTTTAATGTCATCAGTCAAGTCTGAGTAGTGGTTGGTATCCTCTTGCTCTTACACTCCAGCAGGTCCTCAGATGGTTCCATCTTTTCTGAGGTTATCTATTTTACAATATCATTTTGTAAATTCTTTCATTTGAAAGAATACCAATGTGCATATAATAGTAATTAAGCAAGTTAATCTCTAGTTTGACCTGCCAATTTTGATTGTGAAAAGAAGTGAAGTTGTCATAAAATTATTTACGTTGTATGAAATACATGATTGGCTACCCGAAGCTCTTTACTATAGGACAGGTTTTTCTCTATTTTTGTAACTTGAAGATATGTGGACATCAACTCCCAGAATTCCTCAGCCAGAAAGTTGGCTGAGGAATTCTGGGAGTTGAAGTCCACACATTTTAAAGTTGCCGATTCAGGAAATATTGCTCTAGGGCACGACTGAATATAGAAGGTGACATATACCTTTGGCTTGCATCTAATTATCATTAGACAAGAAGAAATGATGTCACTTCCCGGGGTTTAAATAGTTTTACCCTTTTGCAATTCATGTTTGTGATGTTTTGATACTTCTTCTTGAGACTTCTTCTATCTGGCTAGCTTTTATATATAGCCATTTCAACTGTGTAGCCTATATCTGCACATTTCTTTCTCTTGAGGGCTTTGCCATCAGTCTTCTGTCTTTTTTCTAGATAGTTCATGAAGGATTTTAATGTTTTAATCCTAATTGTCTAGTTGAGTCTTTTTTTTAAAAGACGGAAACAAAACTGGTTCAGGAAAGACTTGAGACAAGACAGGTATGTGCCAATTACTTCTTTAAAACAAAAACAATCTTCCAAGTTCCATTTGGAAAGTGCTTTGTGTACAGTCTGTCTGAGTGCTAATACAGTCAGACAATATAGTTGTTCTTTTTTATGAATTCCTAGCTGTCTTGTGTTTCTTTGAAATATTATCTTGTTGCAGGGATATATCCACTGCCATAGGTTCAAAATACTTAGATCTTTTTCTTTTCCTCACTATGGATGTTTCATCTAACCTTTATTTTTCTGTTTTTGTTGAAGGTAAAACTGGGTTCACCATCTGACTTTAAACATTAAAAACTTTTGGTGACTAAAAGATGTGCCATGGAATGGTAGGAGCAAAGAGCACCACAACGTCGCTGCTTGCCTTGATCAGTCATGGGATATTTTTTCCATTCTTTATCTTCAGTTCCTGTATGGTGGAAGGATTGGACTCATGTAAGTAATATTCTTACTATCTGTTTCGTGCATATTTCTGGCCTTCTCTCAGGGCAAGTAATTCAGGGTTCTTGTAGAAAATGTTCATAAACCAAGCCAAGCTAAGCCAACATTTAAAGCAGCTATATACTTTAAGGACTATGTGGTGGCTCAGTGGTTAAAATACTGAGCTTTTCAGCTAGAAATCTGGCAGCCCGGATTCAAGATCCCGAGCTCCACGCAATTGGGTGAGCTCCCGTCCTCACCACGGCTCCTGCCAACATAGCAGTTTGAAAGCATACAAATGTAAGTAGATAAATAAATGCTATTTCAGTGGAAGCTAACTGTGCTTCATGATGTCATGTTGGCCACATGACTGCGGAAATGTCTTCAGATAGTGCTGGCTCAATGGCCTTGAAACAGATGAGCACCGCCCTCTATAATCGATAACAAGTAGCGGAGTAAAATCCACAGGTATTCCTTTACAGTTCATCTGTGTAAGTAATACCACTACGTGTGTGTGTGTGTGTGTGTGTGTGTGTGTGTGTGTGTGTGTGTGTATGATATATAAAGGAACATAAAAAATAAAATATATTTATAATGGAAATGAAATTTGGACTTTGAAGAAACAGGATAGAGTATTTTCAACTTTAGGGTTGGAGAAGATGCCTTGGACCAACGTAGATAGCCAAGAAAGAAAGTAAATGGATTATAGAATATATAATATATATACATATATACAATGTAATGTTCTCATTCAAGGCACACATGAGCAAACTTAAATTACCATATTTTGGACACATAATGTGAAAATCCTGTTTCTTTGTGAAGTCCACAATGCTGGGAAAGTTGAAAAGAGGATGACCAGCAGCAGGGTAGGTGGACTTGATTAGAGCAGTGATAGGTACAGCATTGGAAGATTTGAACCACCTCATTGATGAGAGATCATCCTGGAAAGATCCATCTGTGTGGCCAACTGACAATTGTCACTGATTCAAGGGGTTGAAATGCTTTAAATTAATTACAATATCTACAATCAAGATTATCCCTTCAAAATAGTATTGATAATAGTCACTCAACCTGAAGACTCATTCAAGCGATCATCAATATAGTTTTCATATTCCTCCTGTCCATACACTTCACATAAACCTTCCCTGGAAAAACGGTAAACTGGTCTGGGGGCGGGATTTCCTTTTGAGAAAGAAACTTGGTTTTAGGGCACTGAACTTGGCACTGGCACTGAGTGTTGTATGGAATAGAGCCTGTTGGCAATTAGTTGAGGTTCAGAAAGAAAATGAAAATTCCATGTATATGGACAGCAAAGGTAACCTACAGCAAGAAATGGGCTCTATAATCTAACAGATGAATCAAATTTTGAGTGCCATATAAATATCAATTTTGTTAGTTTTCTTGGGAAAAAATGCTGTTTTCTTATATAACAATTTATTCTTGTACATTTCACAGTGAAAGCTATTGAATGTGTGAGAGTGGTACGTTAGATGATAGATGGGTAATTTATTTAATAATATCCTGGTTTTATTTATGTTTCAAATCCTCTTAGGTGAGAATAGTTCAGATACAAACACGAGATCAGGGTGGAACTAGTTAGTATGGATGAGAACTCACAAGTAAATCCCAGGACTATAAAATAAACTGAGTATTCAGGAAAAGCTGCTGGAAATAGACAATGGCAAATGACACGGCTTTTGTTACAAAAAAAAGGCTATTTGGAGGTACTCATGAAATTTCAAGGAATTAAGGTCAACTCAAATGGGAGATTATTTTAGAGACAAGGCTTTGATGAGCTACTTCAGATGAATTTTAATTCTAGAATTAAAAAATGCAAGAGCTTTTTGGTAGCTCCTTATTTTGATGCACTCAGACTTATGAAGAATCCTACCAAAGACTCATTGATTGAAGCACATATTTGGTGGCATAAGAAGTTTGGGAATTTTGGGCATACTTCTCCTTGACTTGTGCAAAGTTCCAGCTTGATTGGAACCCTCCCTATTTATCCAACATGAACATTTTAACATTAGAAGCAGGATGGAAATGATGCTTGGCAAGAGTGTTCTCTTAGGTTTATGTAATGGTATATCTGTTGTACTTGCATTCAGAGATTGGGGCGTTGGTCCTTACCTGATACGCCCCTTCTAGGCGAGCCGCGAGGAGCATCCAGACTGTGGGATGTGCTTCTGAGTCCTCTTCTTTCAGGCTGAGCTTTAGACGAGGAAACGCTCCGCCCCTCCCACGTGGCATCGCGCAGCGTCTCCCCAGTTTTTTGCGATAACGAGAAGAGAAGTTATTAATCCTATCTAATCAACTATTGGCTCCTTGGCTGAAAACAGGAGTCCCCACCAGACGGAGATGCTAGGGTGGGGCTGGATGCTCCTCGCGGCTCGCCTAGAAGGGGCGTATCAGGTAAGGACCAACGCCCCATTCTCCCTCGAGCCGCTCGGAGCATCCAGACTGTGGGACATACCAAAGCTTGGCTGTCCTATGGGTGGGACTCCGTCTGGCCCGAAGGCCCCTCCGGATCATTGATAACCCTCTGTAAGACCCGCCGGCCAAAGGAGGCCTCAGCTGAGGCATACGTATCGATCTTGTAATGCCTGATAAACGGGGACGGAGAGGCCCAGGTGGCTGCCCTACAAATGTCAGCAATGGGGGCTTGTGTGGCCCAGGCCGCCGAAGTGGCTGCACTCCTGGTGGAATGGGCAGTTATTCCACCGGGTGCCGGCAGAGAATGGGAAAGGTAACACCTGGCGATGGTCGCCCTGATCCAGCGGCTGATAGTGGAAGGAGAAACCTTGAGCCCTAGTGTCTTGGGTTGAAAGGACAGGAAAAGAGATTCCGACCTTCGTAAGGACTGAGTGCGCTTAATATATATACGCAAGGCCCGTCTAACATCTAGGGTGTGCCAAAGAACCTCCCTGTTCCCGGAGGGTCTAGGGCAAAAATTTGGTAGAACCAGTTCCTGAGATCTATGGAAGGGCGAGTTAACTTTGGGTAGGAAAGTGGGGTCAGGCCGCAGGACGACCCGGTCTGCATGGAACACACATAGATCGCTCCTGACTGACAGAGCTGCTAATTCCGACACTCGACGAGCAGAAGTGATGGCTACTAGAAAAACTACCTTAAAGGTGAGGAACTGAAGAGATGACTCCCTCAAAGGCTCAAACGGAGAACGTGTAAGAGAAACTAGGACCTTGTTGAGGTCCCATGTGGGAAACCTGTGAACAGTGGGAGGGCACAGGTTGGTGGCACCCCTAAGGAAGGATCTAACCCGGGGGTGATGGGAAAGGGAGCCGTAGTTATCACAGGAGACCACTGTTGAGAGGGCAGAGACTTGTCGTCTCAGGGTGTTAGGTGCAAGCCCCTTGCGAAGGCCTTCCTGAAGAAATTCCAGAATCTGAGCCACGGAAGGAGAGAGAGGGTCAACCTGGGACCCACTACACCACTTGCAGAACCCCTTCCAAGTGGCATCATAAATTCGTGTAGTGGAGGGTCGCCTGGCGGCCAAAATAGTGTCGATGACATGGCTTGATAGGTTCTCGCTAGTCAGACGGATCCGCTCAACTTCCAGACGGCTAACTGTAGCCATTGAGGCTCCGGATGTAGAAGGGGCCCCTGAGAGAGGGAGACCCTGTCCGGGGGGATCCGCCATGGGGGCGCTACCGATAGGTTGCGGAGGTCCGCAAACCACGGTCGCCTGGGCCAATAGGGAGCCACCAGGAGAAGGTCTGCCCTCTCCTGAATGAGCTTCTGAATGACTCTGGGCACTAGCGGGAGCGGAGGGAAGGCATATAGGAGCCCTGGGGGCCATGGGCAGCGCAGAGCATTGTGGTTCTCCGCCCCGTGAGACGGATACCGGGAGAAAAACCGTGGAAGTTGTGTGTTGGATGGGGAAGCGAACAGATCCACCACTGGAAGGCCGAATATCTTGGACGCTTCCTCGAACAGGGATGGATGAAGTCGCCATTCTGCTTGGTCCACCGTGGCCCTGCTCAGCCAGTCCGCCTGGGTATTGTCTATCCCGGAGATGTGTTCGGCTTTTAGTGATAGAAGGTTGGCCTCTGCCCAGCGGCAAAGGCGCTCGGCTTCCCTCATCAGTTGAATTGACTGGGTGCCCCCTTGCCTGTTGATATGGGCCTTGGCCGTGACGTTGTCTGTGAGAACGAGAACATGGCGACTGCGGATCTGGGGGAAGCAGCGCAGAGCCAGATGGACGGCATGGAGCTCTAGCCAGTTGATGCTGCATCTTTGTTCGGTCGGCGACCATTTGCCTTGCGCCGAGAGTGAGTTGAGATGAGCGCCCCAACCGGATAGACTTGCGTCGGTAGTGACGGTGAGTCTTTGAGGCTCCGCAAAGAGGTGGCCTCTGTTGATGGCGGGATTGGTCCACCAGAGAAGAGACGTGAGGACCTTTGGAGGGACCTTGACTCTGATCTTCGAGTTGCTTCTTCCGGATCTTTGGAACGGGAGCAGGAACCACTGGAGGGGCCTGCTGTGTAAGCGGGCCCAGGGAATAATAGAGATGCATGACACCATTTTTCCCAACAATCTAGAGAGGTCAAGCAAGGCCACCCTCCTAGAACGTCTAATTTGTTTGACCAGGGTTTGAATGCTAAGAAACCTCTCTGGGGAGAGAAAAACTCTCTCTGAGACCGAATCAATTATGGCACCCAGGTGGTTGATTCGGGTGGAAGGGGTAAGTTGGCTCTTTTGCCAATTGACTAGAAACCCGTGTGCCCGTAGGGCGGAAAGGGTGACCCTGGTATCCCTGACTGCCTGGGACTTGGACGGGGACAGGATAAGGATATCGTCCAAGTAGCAGTGGAGGCGGACGGGAATGCTCCTGAGGTGGGCCGCCAGGGCCGCCAGGACCTTGGTGAAGGTCCTGGGGGCCGAGGCCAGCCCAAAGGGTAGGGCCACGTATTGATAGTGAAGGCCATTATAACAGAACCTAAGGAATTTGTGATGAGAGGGCCTGATAGGAATATGAAGGTATGCCTCAGAGA